TTTTTTTTTTTTTCCTAAAACCATCTGTCATCAGCTTTGTAAATTTTAACCAGCTTATCTGCGAATTGCTTTTGTCGACTCTCTTGTACTGCTTTTTCTATTTTACGTAGAATCGTATATTGGCATCTTGTTTGAGAAGGAAAATGACAATTATGGAATTCTACAGTCATATAAATAAATGTTGATTGATAGACTAACTAATAGATTCGATTTGCCAGATATGATAAATATACTTTGGCTGACTCTTACTTAACAATTAAAAGACGGTTCACGTGATAAGACGCACGTATGATGATTAGGTACGAAAGCTTTTTTTACTTGTTCTATATAAAAACCACGCACTATTATCTTCATAAGCGTAATAACTGTTCCACAGTATTTGACGTAAAATATTATTTCTATACTTATCGACGACAGTTTTTTTGATTATAGTAAAATATTTCGGAGGAACTGCTAACGACATTACATAATATAAACCATATAATACTACTGACGTCAGATCGGTTTTAATCTTTTATCTTCGATATAATATTTTAGCGGAATATAATTTTTTATGGATTCAAACTGTAAATTTTTTGTTCATCTTCTTATCGCCAGTATCGCTTCGTATGTAGCTGAACACACATATATTTGCAGGTATTTGCTTAAAGTATAAATATGCCTATTAAGATTCGCAAATATTCTGATAAGAACGTCTGTCGATTTGTATGTTACCGTCATTAGAACACTTAAACCGTGCATGATCAGAGTTCTGGCTTCGAACTACAATGTCGCAGAACAGAGCAGACAAAATATGTGCGAAGATGGCCAATGCCTATTAGGAATAATAAGAGCATGTGGAATTTTGATTTATTTGTCCTTGCACGTGTAAAATGATTTTCTTCGTTCTGTTACATGTCATATGTAACGTAGATATTCTTCTACATTTATCGTACTAAGACATGGCTCAGATACGGGTCATCGGACTGCTATCCTGTGTTGTTTCTAAGTTTTATCAACATAAAACTGATCACGATCTATTGCACACATCCTCCATGCCCTAATGCTAATAATCAAGATTACAACCATATTTAAATTAGCAAATTTTTATGTTGTGAATTTGCAATGGAAGAATCGAAATCACAATTGTTAGCGATACTTTCTCTTTCATAAATTATGATGCATATATAAATTTTATATTATCTTATGTTGCGTAAGGAAAATACGTTTTGTTTACAGAAATCAAAACAGTTACTTCTGTTTTAGTTATTTAGTAGGCCGTCAATAAATTGACTGTGTTCTCAGTCACAAGAACTGTAGAATAAAATCACTACAGGGGTCTGACCAACAACGCAGAGTCGAGTCGTGCTGATATCTTATCAGCGAGAACGTGCAGGGCACATGGGTCATTTGCTGAATGTAATCTATATGTATGTAAAAGATTTTGGCGTTGTAGGATGATGTTCCGGATCATTTCCAATCGCATTTACAGTCGCTAAAAAATGTGTCTTTGTTTCAGCATGATCCTACTTACATGACATTAATTTTCTTCTTGATTTTTAACTTAATACAGCAATAATTAGTTTTGGAGTTTGTGTTTGTTGCTGGAGATGCACTATAACTGGAATTCCTGAACATTAGACAGCAAGTTTTAAAATAGAATCAGACTATGTATTGCGATAAAATCGATTTGCTGATTGTTGAGTACGAGAATACTTGTTAATTAATGTCCTGACAATACAATCCAAGGTTAATGATGATAATATATATTTGGAAAAAGAAATGTGAAAAATCGTTAATGATATTTTTTTTTGTTCGATGCAATACAAATATTGACTTAAAAAAAAAACTCACAACAAAAACATTTTTTATTCCAGATAGAATTACTTTAAATGACGTCCATATTATGCGTGGAATTTCAATTTTCCTAATGGCCGCACTTTTTCGGAATTCTTTTTAAATGCGTACTTAAAGTTAAGTTTCATTGTTTGAACTCGAGATCGAGGGCTTGCACAATGAACGAAAGAATATCAGTACTTTCTTCGATCTAGATAAAAAAGAGAATGTATGAATATTAGCTGAATTGCATTACTTCTAAGAATTTAATTTTGATACTCGAGTAAATACTTACCACTTTGCTAGTAGGTTTTCCACCACCGTGACCCGCCTTGGTCTCTATTCTAGCAAGTAGTGGATTCTTTTGATTTGGCAGTTTCCCCAATGTGTATTGAAGTTGAGCAATAAGTTTCAAACTATGTAGAGGAACAACACGATCGTCGTGATCCGCAGTAAGTAAAAGAGTTGCCGGATATTGTCCACCGTTTGGTGGTGGTCTGACATTGTGCAGTGGCGAATATTTAAGTAGATTTTTAAAATGCTTCTCATCTTCGGAGCTTCCATAATCGGAAACCCAGGTGTAGGCAATGGTAAATTTGTGAAAGCGCAACATATCCATCACACTGAAAACATTAGAGGAATCCACCATAACTTACATTTCCCTTAATAAATTGAACAACGTGCATCGTATTTTACTCACCCAACTTGTGCAATGGCTGCACCGAAAAGATCGGGTCTTTGATTCATACAAGCTGCAACTAGAAGTCCACCGTTACTTCCACCCTGAATGGTCAGCTTTGCAGCATTGGTATATTTTTTCTCGATTAAGTACTCGGCAGCGCATTGAAAATCATCAAAGACGTTTTGCTTGTTGAAGAGTCGGCCATCATTGTGCCACTTCTCTCCGTACTCTCTGATTTCGCAATTAGTTTTTTTTAAGGATATTTTTACGTTTCTTCAATTAGGAACTTATCACTTCAGTTATCGAGTAATTAGTCTTACCCTCCACCACGTATATTTGGTATGGCCAGAACGCCATTCAAGTGTTGGACGAAAACGAGTCTTGTAATGCTAAAAGCTGGCTGAATGCTGACATTAAATCCTCCATAGCCGTATAGCAGGGCTGGCATTGAACCATCTAAAACAGCATTTTTTTTTGTCACGATGAACATTGGAATCCGCGTACCATCCTTTCCATTGTAAAAGATCTGTTTGGTCTCATACAGATCAGAATTGAAATTTTTCACTTTAATTTCCCGGAATACCTGAAATAAATTACGTGATAATTGTGTACCATTAGCTTTTTTTAAGGGAGGGGGGGTGGTGGTACGTAATTTGATTTATGAAATACTTCAACAAAATCAGTAGAAAAACTAACCTTTGGTTTTTCCTCCTTCTTAAGGTCAGTCCTATAAATGATTCCAGGCGTCAAGAACGAAGTAAATTCATAGAAAATTTCCGAATATTTTTTATCACCCGAAAATCCTACGATTGTACCAACATCCAGAGGAAACGATCTAAGGACCTCACCATTTTTAAGACTATGCAGTTGTAGAACATTCTGCAAATGGAAAAACCTAATTGTAGCTCAATTAAACTCGAATTCTTATCTTCTAATTCTCATATGATTTTTTAATACCTTCACATCTTCGATGTAACATGCAATAAATTTATCCCCGTCTACAGCCGTGGCCCAGTCTAAGACATTCGTGGGATGTTCTGGCAGTAAATCGATCCAGAATTCTTCCGCGTAATCATCAAGATCGATAGAAATGAGTTTGAAGTTAGGTGCATTTTTGTTGGTACGGAAAATGGCTTTTGAACCATCGTTCGTTACGTACTGTGTAATTAAATGCAATTATTATTTCCTTATACAAGGCTCAGCGACGTATCATAAGAAAATGCAATAAATACTTCGTAATCAGCTTCCAACTTGTCAACAACTTGAACGAGCGGAAGTTTCCCTTCTATTTTGCAATCGGGTCCAAGTCTTGAGAAGTATACCAAATTATCGCGACAATCCTTGACCGGCGTGACAATTAGCCAGTTGCCACAATCCGTAACCTCGGCCCCACTGTTTAGAATGTTTGATTAGAATCACCAATTACCGAATTCGGTAATTTTTAATATTTCTTTTCAGGTTGGTCACAACACAGAATCAATTTCTTTTACTTACATCATCCACAAGGGTTCTTCAGGAAATTCAACTACTAGGATATCATCCGATTGTGGTGTACCTACACGGTGATAACACAATTTCTGATTCTGACTACCTTGCGTTTCCGAACCGTCCGTTTTACCCTTTTGTTCAGGATAATGAGCATAAAATACTCCCTTATTGTCGTGAGTCCACGTAAGCGGAGAATATTTAACCTTTTCTAGTGACTCCGGGTAATGTTCACCTATGGAGGAAAAAATGTATATACATTTGGTTCAATCGCTATTGCAAATATTTGGAACATTTTGCATTTATCGCGATAATAGAAATGTAGGAGCACTGTTAAGAGTGAACAGTCCAATGATTACCAGTTTTTGTGTTCATGAAACGAATGGTACTCCAATCAGAGCCACTGCATGAGAATCCATAAGCAAAAAGGCTGCCATCCTCACTAAACTTGCTGCTAGTAATTGCAACTGTGCCATCGTCAGACAAAGTATTAGGATCTAAGAAAACTCGGGGTTCTGAATCCAATGTATCTTGAACGTACAAAACGCTAAAAGGATGCAATAAATGAACAATTTAAAAATATTGTTATTCACTACTTGTAATTGTCAACAATGATAATGTCTGATGCAGAATAACCAAGTTGAGCACAAACCTTTGGTTTTGAAGACCAGTGTTTTTATAGAAGTAATACTTATCACCTTTTTTCTCAGGACATGAATATTTGGGATAATCCCATAGTTGTTTAAAACGATCGTGTATGTCTTGGCGTGATTTGCAAGCTGCTATATATGGCTTTGTAATTGCATTTTGGGCATCCACAAAGGCTTTTGTTTCTTCCGAATCAGGGTCCTCTAACCATCTATAGGGATCTGGTATCTATAAATTTGAGAAACGTACAATCTTAAAAGAATATTCATTTCTTGTAATTAAATGTTACAGGCACGGTACATATCGTAATAATAAATGATAGGAACAACCAAAAGCGATCTAACCTCAATGCCGTGATAATTATCAACAACGGTCTCATCCCGACGCACGTCGGGATACTGTAAATTGTGGGTCATGATCCTATGATTCGTTAAATGCGTGAGATTCCAGTTTTTATAAAGCTGTAAAATATAATAATAAAAATTCATTAATAATTCGCATCCATCATGATTTCTTTGACATTCGAACAAATCATGTCAAGAAGTTGTAGCTAATCAGTTATACTTACGCGAGCACTTGTCGTGACTGAAGCTAACTGTAAGAGTTGCGGCGTTCCCTGTGTTTTTCTGACTATCGGAAAACACGTTTTCGAAGCAAACTGAACACTACGAAAAAGATGTCTGAAGCTACCTTCGCAAGCGGCTGTGCTGTATAAGATATCCTTGGATAAATGTGATGACAACTAAAAGATGAAGGAAAGTGGATAGAATCTAATGGATAACGATGTTTTGACGATACACAAAAGACTATGGGTACGTTCACAAATTCACTGCTTGTACTACGTGTATCATTGTGTCCCTATTTATCTGCCTGCAATGGGTGAGACACAATCATGCTCGCAATACTGAAAGTGCATTTTGGAACGTACTCTACACTGGTTATTCCTCTCAAAAGGAGGTAGCCAAGCATCTGGAAAGGAAGAAAAAGAATATACCTTTTCACGTCGAATGGACTAGTTGTACAAGAAGAATTTGGAAAACCTTATCCCCCATTGGTCAAAATTGGTCATCATGTGACCATTCTATCGCATAACTTTTTCGTGATGTCCGAATCTGGCAATGAATAATCTGGTTTTCCGAGTTATCCATTTTGTACGACTAGTCTGTTCAACGTGGGAAGGTACCTTGATGTTGCGTGAATATATTCTTCTGACCAGAAATATGGCCATCATTTGGCTACCGTTGATTTCACCTAACGGTGAGAGACCCGAATGTACCACACCACTGAAATGGAATTCCCCGAATGATTATTCTCTTGAAACGCCGATGTATCGAAAATACAGTAGATACTCTGTTATCTTTCTGATTATACCGGTCCATTGTAAATATGTTTCAGATATGCACCGTTATAACAGACCATGGTTATAACAATGTCCTCTAGGAAATTTATTTTTTGGCCCAGTTTAGAAAACAGTCGGTCACGATGCAAACTGTAATTTTACCATCTACTTACACATTTATTTGCATTTTTTCTGCTGATGGTAAAGTCTGGAATGTCTTATAAATGTTGGTATCTCTTTACTGATTCCTTGTCAATGCCAACACTAATCAGTAATAGGAAAAAGATCGAAGTAACCGCAAAGCAGTAACACGTCTTGAATCTCCTCGAAACGTTTTTACATCAGATTTTTTTCAATAGTATAGCAAAAATAATTGTATTTTGTAATAAAAATTTTCACGTGGATCTTGGCAGCAAATACAGTCACACACTTGTTAGTTACATCTAGTACGCACATGAGAACGTACCGTTTACTTTGTCAGCTGAATCAGTGAAATCGATAGGAGCATTAAAAGAAGAGCAAAGTCATTTAAGGAAATTCGAAGAAGTCGCTATGAGGTGTGACTCTTTTCGCGCTTGAGGTGTGTCACAACATTGAACCAGTGACGTGAATATTGTGCGCAAATACTGGGTAAAATTGCAGTACAATGCAGAGTGTAATCAATTCAGTTAAGGGTACTGCACTTGGTGTTGCCGAGTACCTAACACCGGTTCTCAAGGTAAATTCATTGATTTTTGTTAGTTACATTTGTTATACTACTCTCATATTGATTTTTCTCTGTTTCATAAGACATTCAGATATTTGACATGTTCATTGGTAAAAGGCTCTTTTATAGACAACATTGTTAATACATATAATTTATATTTGATGATATTCAGGAGAGTAAGTTCAGAGAGACGGGTGTTTTGACTCCAGAAGAGTTTGTGGCTGCTGGTGATCATTTGGTGCATCATTGTCCCACCTGGCAATGGGCTACTGGCGATGAGGATAGAATCAAATCATACTTGCCAAGAAATAAGCAATTTTTATTGACAAGACATGTGCCATGTACGCGTAGATGTAAACAGGTGTGTATTTCAAAATATCGATTTCTCTCACTGCCTTTGTTATATGTGATGATGTTATAAAGAAGTGAATAATTGTTTAGATTGAGTATTGCGAGGATCAGGAGCGAATTATAGAAGCTGATGATCCTGAAGGAGGATGGGTAGATACTCATCACTATGATACTAGTTTAGGCGGAATAGAAGAGAAGGTTACAGAAATGACCTTAGGGGAAGCACAACCAAATCAAGATGCTGAAGCAGGAGAGACCAATGAAGATGATGAGGATGATGAAGAAGCTGCAGACATGGAGGCTTTTGAAGTTAGTGGTATGCTGGATGAAGAAGACAAGGTAATTTTTTATTATATGTTTCAATATGTAAAATCAGGTATCATGGAGTATAAGACACTGATGAAAAATATTGACCCTAGTATGCAGCAGAACCTGCTAAGAAATCGGTAAAAGAGAAGCGAGACTCATTCTCCGAAGGTGAAATAATTCGTACCCGAACGTATGACCTTCATATTACATATGACAAGTATTATCAGACACCTAGGCTTTGGTTGTTCGGATACAATGAAAGTCGAAAACCACTTTCCGTGGAAGAGATGTATGAGGATGTTAGTCAAGATCATGCAAAAAAGACAGTTACCATGGAAAGTCATCCTCACATGCCAGGACCGCCAATGGCTTCCGTGCATCCGTGTCGACATGCTGAAGTTATGAAGAAAATCATTGAAACAGTTATGGAAGGTGGAGGCGAGCTGGGTGTTCATATGTATCTCATTATTTTCCTAAAATTTGTGCAGTCGGTCATTCCCACGATAGAGTACGATTACACTCAAAACTTTATGTTAACTAGCTCAGGCTAATTCGCTGGCGAATCAAAAAAAAAGGCTAACTCGATGGAGCTACTATGAGCTTAAGAGATGCACGCAATTTCGTGGATTCTGCCTTGATTTTTCTCTATTTTTTCTTTCAAGTAATATATTTAATATAATACGAGTGTCTACACTCACAACTATTAATTATAAATGTGCTCACAATATATTTCGCTTGGCATATGAAAAAAGGTAGAGAGAAAAAACAGAACAATAGAAACCAATGAAAATATATAATATATAAATCGCTAAAATATCTTTGCTCACGTCCAAGTGACTTTTGAGCTATTGTTGTGGCAAATAAGTTTATTTGTGCCCGAGTATTCCGAGAAGATTTAGATTTCAGATCCACCAATGTGATCCCGGTCGATTTAATACTGTCTTTTACATAATCAGCCATTGATATTAAGTTTCAGATTGAACAAGAGTACACATGGTCAGATCCATAATACTGTATCTCTTAAACGATACAGATCTTGTGGTTTAGTTAAATTTTTTAAAACGCTACTTGTCGCATTACACGAATAAATAAAATAAGAAACTGAATGTTGGATATTAATTGATTCTAGATTATGTCACTTTCAATATTTTATTCCTAACTTATTTCGTTAATTTATTACAAGCTCTCTCCCGTTCTTCTCATTTGAGATTTCTTTTTTCGTCATAGTCACCTTTTTGGTAACAGAAATTTACAAATCAATTGATCCTAAACGATAGTCAGGTACTCGGACGCAAGCTGCAATGGATCCACGTGATAAGACGTTACGAGTCGCACTTTCTGACCATCCTGAGTGGTGAACTCAATTGTCTGTTCCTCATTCATTATTTCTTCTTGCTCTTCTGATCCCATTTGATTTACTACAGCTACAGCAGTAGCATCCGTATCTTCATCCTGGATAACAATAGTTTTTCATAACAAAACAAGTTTCTACATTATTATGCGACACAACGTACCTCAAGTGCTTTGACGATGGCTTCCGCATCGGTCTGGGAAGTAGTTGCTGAAGGAGGACATTTCGTTTCTTCAGTAGTGCCTTGACCTATTCCTTCTATTCCAATTGGCTGGTGTACTTGAACATTCAATTGTTCTGCTAATTCTTGCGATACAACACCAGAATGCACTCTAATGGTTTGTCCGTCATTCAGTTGACTAACAAATTGTCCCTGTGAGAGTAACTGCCGCGCATCTTGAATAGACAATGGAATGGGATTGCCTTCCTCATCGGTGATCTAAGAAAACGGATTGACGATTATAGGTTTGTCCTCCACTCGTGTTTTTATTGATTCAGGTTATGTTATGTATTATTTGTTAGTAACAAAATACCTGAAGCTGTAGATCGGATTCTGAGAGTTCCATATCCATTCTCTCTTGAGAATTCTCATGGCTTCGTCTCTGTTGCGGCTGTTCCGGTACGATTTCCCCATCATCCGCATCCAAGGATGGCAATGATTGGCCGGTGGTTGCTGAAATTTCTTCCTTGTCCTCCATAATACCAGCATCCACTATTAGTATGTTTATAAATGTTTGACATTAATATTCGCTAGCAAATTGTACAAAAACCAATGTAGACATAAATTTTACCGAAATGCAGGGTCCTAGATTGATTAGGATTGTCAGGATCTTGATAAGAGACATATATAATTTGTGGAGTACCATCACCGGAACCTTCATCGGCGGCAATTAGTTGAGCCATGTGATCCCCGAGTGAATTTTCATCTCCTTCCTGAGATCCTGGCAAAATTTGCCAGACTTCGCCAATGGCGGAACCTTCCGCCAACTCGCCCATTCCTATCATTTTATTGTCCCTGTGTACTTTTTTATGTTTCGTCAAATTCGAACAGTCTGCGAATGCTTTTCCGCAAACGTCACAGGAGTATGGTTTCTCTCCTGGAAATAATACCAATTCAATACTGCTGTTGTTTTGCTTTCTCATAGAGGATGCTATGTAACGGTGGAAAATTTCCCTGTCGAGATTTTCATGTCACCATATTCAGAATGTGCCAAAACGTCGAAAAAAAAAACGTTTGGAGAAAATGTCCGGATGTATGTGTGTGTGTGAAAATTCAAACGTGTATAACTTGAGAACGATTTTAGCTACAGCCCCTAAATTTGGCAGGCACGTGCAGCTCTATAATCCCTTCATTGGCTATAATTTTCGTCATGATTCAAGCTGCGGCTCGGATTTTATGTCGTTTTCAAATTCCCAAAAAAAGGACGTTATCACTCTGGCGATCGCAAATTTTACGATAATCGTCTAAATAATTCTTGACAGAGATTTGTATCCAAGGTTGGTTGGTACTGCATTTGGGCCGAATTCATCGAAAAGTTTTGATTTTGATATTTTGAATTTTTCGAAAAATTGAAGTTATCAATATAACTCCTGTCAACTTCGACCGATTGAGTTCCAATTTTCCAAAAGTATAGAGTATCATTTAGCCGTGACATGTCTCAAATTTGGCGGAGATCGGCAACACGGATCTGATTATACATATATTCACGTTTTTGAATTTCAGCCGATTCAAAAATATTAGGCCCGAAGAGATCATGCAAGAGATTTATGAGATCATGCAAGAGATAAATGTACGAAGTCCCTATATGAGGAAGCCAAGAATTTTAATTTTGCAATTTGCTTCCTCTGAATCGTCAGTAGTAGATAAAGATTCATCTATGAGGAAGCCAAAAATTAAAAAAAAAATGAAAAAGCTTTCTCATATAGGGACTTCGTACACTACCTACGATTCGTAAGAAGCAAGTTGCAAGTTTCACCTTGCAGCTTGTTTAATATTTTTGAAAGTAAAAATGCTACAAATCCATAAGCTTGCCTGTATGCAATCGAAGGTGTTTCTTAAGAGCCCATTGTTCGGTGAATCCCCGATTACAATGAGCACACTGGAATGGCCGTTCACCCTTGTGTCTTCGCACATGACACTTCCAAGTGTCCTTGTGCAAAAAACATTTGGCACAAAACTCACACTTCCACGGCCGCTCACCAGTATGTCTTTTGACGTGTAATTTGAATTGCGAGGAAGTTGTAAATTTTCGGCCGCAATAATCACAACAGTATGGTTTCTCACCAGTGTGAATTCGCATGTGCTCTTGGAGATTACCATTTTGGGAGAAACTTTTTTGACACACTTCACAAGTGTACGGCTTGTGACCAGTGTGCCATCTATAATGTAACGTGAGACTTGTTTTGTGCGCGAATTGCTGCCCACAAATTTCACAGAAATATTTTTTCTCGCCGGTATGTGTCGACTGATGGTTTATTAAATTCGCCTTAGTTTTGAAGCTTGCGCCGCAGGACTTGCATATGTAAGGTCGGTCGTCTGAATGGACCAACTGATGTCGCTGTAAGAGTTGTTTGTGCTTGAAACTCTTTCCGCATTTGTTACATACGAATCTCCGACCATTGTTGTGTTCAGCTTCTTTGTGATAGACTACTGAACTTGGGTGATTCAACACTTTACCGCATATATCACAAGGAAAACCTTTATCCGACTTGTTTCCCTGAGGATTTAACGTCTAGGTTCAAAAACTTAATAGTAAAATTTACTGTTGATATTCATTTGATTCTTACCTCGTGTGTTAGCATGTGACCCTTAAGACTCGTGAGATAAGCAAACGTTTTATTACAAATATTGCACGTAAATGGTTTTTCATCGTGATGAACAACTTTTATGTGCGTCTCGTAATTTTGCTTAGATTGAAAATGCTTTTGACATTGTTCACATTCGATGTGCTCTTTTGGACTATTTTGCTCGTCAATGGCAGGTGTCTCTTGCACGGTGATATTGTCAGATACTCGTTTCTCTGCAGGGATGGCAGGTTCAATAGGGCCAACTTCATCGATAATATTTTTTATCGACACATCCCGAACATTTGTTTCGTTTTCTTCAATGTTTATTATACCTTCTCCACTGTGTCCTGCAGTTCTTTGATGAAGAGCAAAATTGTCCCTATTACTAAACTGCTTCTTGCATTGGCTACACTCATACTTCACACTTTTATGGAAACTCCTGTAGGGAGAAACAATACAATTGTACGATTTTCTCAAAGGATCTGTTATATATTACATTGTATTTACTTATGCATAATGTATCTGCTACGCTGTAGAAAACCTCGGCCACAGAGGTTGCACGTAAATTTATTTTTACGTCGCCGTAGTTTAGGTCGCCCTCGGCCACGGCCACGATTTACAATGACTAGTTCACCCAAGTCCTTGCCTTCCTGAGTTTCCAAATGCCCAATAATTTCTGTATTAGATAGAATGCGTTATGTGGTAATTTATTAAAATGTCAATTGCAAATCAGGATACTAAAATACAACCTTCATGACCATCAGGAGTTGGAACATTTAGGCGTTCCTCAGTATCATCATAATCCTCTTCTTGATTGTCATCATCTTCTTCGTCGATCACACCTTCTTCCTTGAATATCCTCTCCAATTCTTTACCTTGGACTGCTTCCATGAATCTATGCGAATTAACTGTTTAGAATGTTAAACTGACAAACCGAATCTTCAAAAGTCAACAGACCTTTTGGGAACTTTACGTCTTCGACGACGTCTACCGTCGCCATCCACGTCATCTATTTCTTCCTCTTGCTTATCCTCTTCACCTTGGCTAGTCACTTCTGGTAGTTCCTCTTTCAGAATCTTTTCAATAAAAAATGAGTTGAAATAAGAATGTTGAGAATATTATCTATACGAAGAATATGCTTTACCTTATTGTCTATTTCAGTGTGTATTTTAGGCGGCCGACCTCTTTTTCTTCTAGGTTTACTTAAGCCTTCCATTTGTAAGCTTATTTCGTGCTCAGCAGTGTATAAAGTTCCATCAGGCATAACTACAGATGAAAATGATATTGCAATACGTGACAAGTGCAATAGATTTATTATTATGTAATAGAAGTGACCTTTTTAAAATATTAAAACAATTACTTTTGATAATTATTTGTTGCTCAATTCCTTGATCTTCATTATCCTGATTGAAACCATCTAATTCTGGAGTTTCTAATTCGATTTCTGTACTTTCTCTTTCTGCTCGCAACCGATCTCTTTCTGCCTTGCGTTGTTGCTCCACTTGCTGCTTCCACATTTCTCGAATTTTTCTCTGGCCATCCACGAGCAACTCGAAGAATTGCACCGTGGCTTCTAGCTGAATATTGCATCCTGGACATATTGTCCTTGGTAATCTTCCGTCGTCCCGTATCTTTACAAAAGTAACATACATTAGTATCTTACAATTAACATATTCCTTATTACTGATAAAATGATTGAATGACATTAATACAGTTTTCTAGAAAAACCTTTACATTTAATATGTAAAACCTTACAGATCATATTTATAACAATAAACCATTTGGTTGTTTGCTGGAGACAAAATAGAAAATATAATACTTTTGTTAATTTTTTATTATATTTGAAAATAAGAGTGACCAATAACTTGTGTGATGATCTATTGTGGAACAATACATAGAATGGTTATATTTTGTCACATTACATTCAAGATTATGTCTAGAACAGAAAGATGAGAACTGGGCTCTGAATATCAATTGGAAATCAATTTAATTAGTAGCTTTCAAAAAGCAGCAACATTCTGAGTTTAGGCACATATGGAGTGTAACTCGTTTCAATGCTCAAATTGAAACAGTAGTAAAGGTATTGGGATAACCTCAAAATTTCACTTCCGATAATTTCTTGGCGGCAGAAAGAATTTTTCCAGGATATATTATTCACAGAGAACAGAAGAGCCGTGAAAATATGTGCAATATGTTGATTCGTGTAGTATGGCAGGACCGGTCAACGAAAATCAGTGGAGCCTCCATATTGTCTATGGTAGGAAGTCAAGTTAGGGACTGAATGAACTGTAGTACCTCGCGAATTATCATACCTTGAGTGGCAAGTACCGATTCACCATGGAGCTTAAATCGGGTTCATCACCGCTGGCTGTGTATAATAATTCCCCGTTGCCATTGTCTTCTGCACAGAGCCGACAAATCGCCGAGTCATAGAGACGAACGTCCATGACGGCGGTAAAAATGGTGAACAAAGCTTATACTGCAGCGCAATTGAGCTGAACTTCGTAATGGCTAATGGCGACGTAACTCCAAATCTTGTCATGTCTTGCGTATCTCCTGTAATTCAAAGCTCTTTCTTCTCGTATTTCTGCCGAATCTTTTTCCAGGTTCTCATCGTGTTTGATTTATTTTTTTCAGCCAAGGTCGCAGAACAATACATGCGCAGATACCGTGTGTCTCTTTCAATAATTCATCTTAGGCATGGTCAATTCCAACCTAACTAGACAGGGTGCATTTTTAAGGGTTTGCACCCTAAGAAAATAATAAATACTTTAGAGATGCGTTTAAATATTTACCGTTTCAATCTTAAGAATATAAAGATGAAAATGTTGATTTATTGCAACTTTACATTCCTATTACCCCCTATTAAAAGTTACTAAAATACTCTTAATATATTCATGATAAATTGGGGTACTAAGATAATAGAGGTGGAATATTCATATTTATATAGAACTTTTGAATTGTGTACCATGTAACTTGGGATAGAAGTGCTTTATTAAGATAAGTCAAATATTATACACCTCAATTTTCTCTTTACCTAACAGCTACATGTGTCCTTAATAATTACTCGAAAATAGTTTACGCCGTAACAAATGTAACGGGAGTAAATTATTACGTACATATAAACTAGGATCAAAGACATTAAAGTCCACTTTTTGTAGTTTTTCTAAATATATATCAATGCAGGTAGCTGGTAGGAAAATTAATTTAGCATCCTTGGGCACATCACTTTTTAATTTTCGAGCCTAAAATAAAAAGATAAATATTAAATATTTGATAACAATAATCATATAAAATTATTAAAAGATCTTCTGTCATCAAGAACGTTTCAGAAGTACAAACTTTGTCTAGATGCTGTTTTGCTTGAGACGCAACATCAAAAATTGTGTTACTTAAATCCTGTCCAGATTTTCCACGAAAAATGTTTTCCTCTGAGACATTGTGTTTCATTAATATGTCCCGTGGAAGAACTATTACTCTTCTTTGAGCATTGTGAGGAATAGAACGAAGCAATGTAACAATCCCATGTGCTTTACCAAGATGACTAGCAGCGTGATCTGCATGTATATTTTGTATACCATTAGCTTCCAGTAATAAATAATAAATAGATGAAACTGTATTCTCTGAATACTTTTCCAAGGATTCCAAGTCTGCAAATGTTGAGAGGCCCATCCTTTCAGCACGAGAGTGGATTAAACGCTTGAAGTATCTTTTTGAAAGTTTATACCTTTGTAATACCTGAAGGAAAAATTGAATAAGATTTTTCCCTCATTAGCAAATATGAATTATCTGTAGCATTTCCATTTGATATATATACCCTGTGCAATTCCAAGGCTATGGGACTCCTAGGTGGAACACCATCATATATCTTATTGAGAGAGTCTTCCCAAAACTTGAACCTCATTATTCCTATATTATTTTCATGGACTTGATCCTGAATTTGAGCAATTTCTATATTAAATGCTCGTACAGCAAATGCTGCTGGTACAATATTATTTGTTAATAAGAGAGTACATAGAAAATTTTCATAGTCACTCTTTCTGCAAATGATAATTATTTAGATATTGAGAGAGGTTTGAAACTAAGTAGGAATAATTCTATAAAACAATGTTTTTATAAATATACCTCACTAAGTCCATACAATATTCAGCAGAGGATTGTTTGTAAGACGTACTGGCGTCTCTAAAAAATTGTACGTGGATTTTTGGTCGTAGAAATGGAGTGAACTTCCTCATCTTCGGAATCGTATAACTTTGAGTTTTTAGGTTATGATACAATGTGAAAGAAATAGAACTACGTCTATACAGTTATTATTAGCTATTTATTAGATATATTGGTATTATGAATGCCGAACGCGAATTTTTAAATTTCAGAAACAATATATGATATACATTATTGCACAATATAATTTCGACATGAGCTATCATAGAATATCAGAAATTGGTTAAATGAAATTTGCTATTGAGTCTTTACAAATCTCAAAATGTAATTTTATTGATAACTTAATTATTACAGAAAGCAAATCGAGCGATAGTACTAACAGACCATTGTTTAATAACTTTTAAAAGTTTTTTATGGAAATCCGTCATCGTCCTCCTCAGCCATTTCCTTAGCTAACTCTAGATCCTGTTGTTCTCTTTCCCTGCGTTCTTCGGCCGATTCTAAGTCTTTTCCATATGACTTTGGGGGATATCTCATTGCCTTAACACTCTGGTTATGAAGATCCAAGCAGAAAGTAATGCGTTGATGGAACGCCAACAATGGCTCCCTGGTGCAGTAAATATCTGTAGTTTCTTTGCTACGCATGTAGCCGTTTTCCGGATCCAGGGTGGCTTCAATCACTCCATCACGAATAGCCTTTGCAACTATGAATTCAGCATCTACACCAGAATCAAGTCCAAGTTTACGAGCAATGTCTCCAGGTGAAATGCGAGAGTATGACAGGCCAATTGATCTAATGGCTGTTTTGATGACATTATGCCTCAAACGTAGAATAAGAGTGAATGTATGGTCTGCTCTGAATTGTGGACCAAAGTTCTCAAGAACTTCGCCAAATCGTTGAAGATTTCCCAATCTCACTGCCTGTGTTAATTGAAAATATGGTGCAAGCGCTCTTCGAACAGGAGCTTGCCTAAAGATTTGCCTCTCGGGAATATCTCCTAGCAATAGTTCAACCGTTACTGCAAGCTTCTGGACGGTCTGACGAAAACCGACGGCCGTTGTTTGGGGTGCTTTGCGCATGGCTTGAACAAGGTACTTATGTGCTGCAGAATACTCTAATCTTGCAGCTTTAATCCTTCCCAAATAATACAAGAAACGAGCCCATTCATTATTACTGGCAGATTCAGGAAACGTAGATTTCAGCACAAGTTTATCAGCTTGGTCATAAAGGTTATAATGAAGATAATTACGTAGTAGACAATTTATGAGTACAGCTTGTCCTTCATAGTCATTACGTAGGGTAGCTGTACGCAGTCTAGAGTGCAGGAAGCCTCTAATTTTATCAAGTTGATCCGTTAACTCATAAGCCCGTGAATGGTAAAAATAACACTTGGCTGCGATAAGATCGATTGTTCTACGATTCTGTGCAACAATTTTTTGTACTAAAGCTTCGGAGCATTGTACAGCCTCTTGATATTTTCTTGTGTCTATTAGACGCACCAAAACCAACAAATGAATATATGCATCAATCTCAGGAAGAAGAGGAGACGCAGAACTCCGAAATCGTTGAATAGTAGCCTGAGCACCCTCCGTATCCATTGGTTCTTCCACCCATGCTAAAAGGGCTTCTCGTTCAGCTGCAGAGCGTGTATAGAAACCTCCGATGACTCCACGAAGTACCACAGGATTAAGTTTGCGTCTAGTATTCGGAAGAGCACGCAGAACACGAAGAATGAATCTGGGTTCTTTGTTCTGAACAGCTTTTTCAATTTGCCGAGTATGCTCTCGTAGATCGTGAATTGTTAGTAAATCCACATCTTTCTTATCCCCGGTATCACCATCACCGTTTGATACTTCAGTATTGCTAACCTCCACTTCCATTGCTTCCAAATTTCTGCCACCCAGCACACCCATCTTCGGTTCACAAAGAAAACGAGCTTTCTCTTTCTTGTATTCGAGAAATTATGAAAAGTATTTTATAGTCTCGTTGTTAAATATCACTCGAGTAAGACATCAAATTATTTTAGACACGAGTGGTGCACTCTCATCACCCAATTCACATCAACCCGTTTTATTGTCAGTAAAACCGATTCACATGATTTCCATGACGTTACAAAATTCACTAGCGGAAACTAGAAACATTTTTCAATTGCATTCTATCTGCCGGTTTAAAAGCTGAACTATCGCCATCTTAAGGTAACTTTTGACGACTGCATTTAACGCAGTGTTGCGCGTATACCCTTAGGCTTGAAGTATCGTCCTCACAGTTACGATTCAGAGGAGTAGGAGACTGGCACATGTCCCCCATTAGGGATACAGCCATAAGGAAAGGAAGGAAGGAAGATGAGTAGGAGATGCGCAACGCTACGGTTTTAGGCGATACCAAAATCATGGCGCTAAATCTTAGTGGCGCGTCTTGCAAGTAGGATTTTGTCATCATCGCCTCCGTCGACAATGCGAATCCCGTCGTAGCCGAGCTAAACG